GGTGGGTGCTGTCACCCCCACCAAGAAGCCCCCACAAGGCCTCCATGCTCCAAACCCTGAGGACCCCGCTGCCCCCACCCCCCTGGTTCTAGAGTCCCCTCCTTCCACCCATCCCCCAGGTGAAAATCGCTCCCACATCCTCCACTGCCACAGAAGGGGAAAGAAGCTGAGGCAGCTGCAGAGCCAGAGGGGACAGGACCCCTGTGACCCCCCCCCCATTCCCAACCTGCAGATCCCCCTCTTCAGCCTTGCTGCACTGGACCTAGCATGTCCTGGGCACAAGACATCACAGCCTGGCATGTTTGTGCAAGGACAGGGGAGTGGCGGGGAGGGGGGTTCCCCCTCTAGGGGCCTTTTCTCCTGCCATTCCCCCCTGCCCCACCCCCAGCCCACCTGAGCCTTACCATGCTGGGCTGTGGGGCTGGGTTAGGGGCCTCTAGGGGAGGCCTGGCCCCGGCTCCCCAGACCAGTAGCAGCAAGACACAGGTCCTGAGTCCCAGAGACCCCATGGTGCTGCTCTGCACCTCCTGGCTGTGCAGGGGGGGGGCATTATGAAGTCCCAGCAGGGATGACACCAGACCCTCCCCTAGGAAGTTATGAAGTGGGAGGTCTCAGACCCAGGGGGGTGATAGAGGCTAGGAGGACTCAGCCTGGCAGCAAGGGGGTGAGAGCCCACATCCCCCACTCCAGAGCCTACCAGTACCCCCTGCACTGTGCCTTGAAGGGCCCTTATCTGGGGGGTGTACCCTCCCCAGATACCCCAAAAACAGGATAAGGAGGGCTAGAGACTCAGCTCAGGCTCTGAAACCTGGGTCCACACAGGTTTTGGGGGTTTTGGGGGGGTGGGGTGGGGTGGCAAGGAACAGAAGGAGGTAGGATCATGTTCTGCATGGGACAGGAGAGTGCTGAACTGGTACCACTGCTGGGCCTCACATGTACATCACAGCATCACCCAGATTCCCCCACCCTCAGTCCCAGCCCCACGGTGCCCTCTGCCAACCCCATCCATGCCACCAAACCCTGTAAACCCTCCTGCTTCATGGGGTGTGCCACCCAGCACCACCGCTTGCCCTGGACCCCCTCACTCCTTGTCCTTCTCTGTCTCTGAGCACTCTGCCATGGTGCTGTGTGTGTTGTGTGTGCTGTGTCTGTTCCTCCAGGCACCGTGTGCACCCTTGGGGACCATACTGTTACAGAAAGAAGAAGCCAAGTCCTTGCACAGAGTCCCCCTACTGAGCTCTTTTTTCCCCTCCAGCTTCAGACCCACCCCCTGACCCAGGCTGTAGGCAACAGGCTAGAGAAGTGGGCACATCTCAGCTACACAACTGCTACACAACTGTACAGTGCTGCTACAAACCTCAGCCTGTGATGCAAGACATCTACACAGTGTAGCTCAGATGCTCATCACAGCAGAGGTACACAGCTTGGGGTCCACAATGGACCTACACACCAAAGCACTGAGACATGAGGGGGATGGTTGTGTATTGATGCTGCATTGAGCTGTGTGGGGGTTTTTTAGCTCTCATGTCATTGTGTAGTGTTGTTGCATAACCCTGGTGTGGGGTGTAGCTGTTGTGTTGCTTTGTGTTGTGTGGCAGGGGAGTTGGACAACGTGTTGGACTGTTGTGTAGCTAGGGTCTGGTGTGCAGTCGTGTAACACTGAAGTCATGTAACAGTGTGCTGTGCCTGTGAGTTGCAGCTGTGCAGGGCTGCATCTGCATTAGTGGGCATGTCTACAGGTGCAATTAATGCTATTTGGATTTACTGTGTAGTAGACTAATTTACTGGGTAGTAATCACCTGCACATGTAGACAGTGACGGTTTACTGCACGGTAGATTAGTCTACTGCACAGTAAAGTGTCTCGTGTAGACATGGTCAGTATTGCAGTGCCCCAGTGTGTAGCTCCATTGTGCGGTGGCAGTGCCAATGCATGCAGCTGTGGCCTGTATCTGTCTCATGGGTGGGATTTGTAACCCAGTTGTGTAGCTGTGCTGTACTGTGCTGAGTCTCTGGGCTGCATTGTGTAGATGGCTTGTGTCACAGCTAAGGTACATAGCAGCACTGTGTGGTTGTGTAGTTGAGATGTAGCCCACTTCTCTGCCCAGCTGTAGGCAACAGGTCCTGGCACGGGCAGGGTTGTGTAGCTGTATTGTAATGTGATGTGTAGTTCTGTGGCTGTGGCTTGTAGTTCTGTGTCCCTGTCCCTGTGCCGAGACCAAGCCTCTGCGGGGAAGGGGAGGGGAATTAGAGCAGATTCTTCCCTGTGGGTTGGGGGAGGGTTTGGCACACACAGCTCAATGCCCATATTCCAGCAAGGCCTGCATTCCCCTCCTTTTTTGTCTTCGTAAGGGGAGGAAGTCTAACCCTAACCCTAACCCTAACCTTAATCCTAACCCTAACCCTCATCCCAGAAAACATCAGGTATAGACTAGGTGTATCTACACGTTCATGAAGGTGCCATAGTTACTACGCATTAAGTTTAGTACTTGGATAACCAAATACTAAATCAATGCACAATAATTTACGCTATTGCACAGTAGCTTTGGTGTATGGGTTTATTTGGGCATTAACTGTGCAATAGCCTAATACTACTGTTCAGTAGCATATTAGCGCAGGTTTTCCCTGGCATGCTACTGTTTTGTATTATTAAGCTACTGTGCAGTTAGCGTCTCGTGTAGACGCACCCACTGAAGATGACCCAGCAGACTAACACTAGTATGTGCCCACCTTGCTATAACCATCTGTACATTCATGCCCCTTCTCTGCCTACTCATTGTTCTTTGTGTTCCCTCCTGCAACCTGTAGGCAGTTTATCCGAGCCACTTTCTGCCCCTTACATTGGGCTTGGAAATAGGAGATCATAGAACCATAGACAAGAAGGGCTAGAAGGGACCTCAGGAAGTCATTTTTAGGGGCTCACCTGGGTGCACTTCAACCCCACCTTTGATTCCTGGTCTACCCAAAGTTCAGGCAGCAGTGAGGGAGTCCACTGATTTCATGATTCATTATAATCTACTGAATTTCTTCTAAACTCTTCATCCCACAGCCTTTTTCTTTCTTTTTTTAATGATCTTTAATCTTTCACTAATTAAACTATTCTTTCATCTGCATTTCTTCTGTCTTTTAGCTGCTCCTAGTAGTGTACGACTCGGTCCTCCAGGCTGATTTGCACTCTAGTGAGAAACATTCACTCAGGTATGGAAACAAGCTTCAGTGAGGTATTGGATGCACTGCCAAGATGCTCAAGAAGGCTTGATTTTGTTTTATGAATCTGAAAGAGATGTATATTTATGTACATTATGAATCTCAAAGGGATGCAGCAAGAGAGGCTTAGGTTGGATACTAGGAAAAAAATTATCCTTAGGAGGGTGGTGAAGTACTGGAATGGGTTACCTAGAAAGGTGGTGCACTCTCCATCTTGAAGGTTGTTAAGGCCCAGCTCAACAAAGCCCTTGCTGGGATGATGTAGTTGGGGCTGGTCCTGATTTAAGCAGGGGGTTGGACTAGATGTGACCTCCTGGGGTCCCTTGCAGCCCTCATTGTCTATGATTCTGTCATTCTATTTCATTCTAATGACTGAAGAAACAATGTCTTCTGAGAATTTTTGCCTAGCATGTTGTGTTTTTTAATACATGATGTTCGATACAGCAAATAAATGTTCATTCTAATACATCTTATTTATTTTTGCTTTAATCTTGAGCTGAATAATATAACCCTAGCCCCCTAGCATATTCATAACATTTCTAGTTTCTTTTTACCTGGAGAAAACTGTGTCAGATTATATATGATGCTGCCCCACACCATCTGCACTACCCGTTTCGAAATCCTAGATCCACCCATGGTCATTTAGTCAAATCCCTGGTCAAGGCAGGATCATTCCTATCCAAACCATCCCATATGAGCATTTGTCTAACCCAGACTTAAAACTACAAGACCAGCCCTGACAAATGACTACCAGGCACATCTCCCCAAAACACCCTGTCCTTCCACAAGTAAAGCAAGGGAACAAAGGCATTATCAATCAAGTTTTTGTTAAAATACATTTGGGAGGTCCAAGAAAGTTGACCATGCCCCCTCCCCCTTAAGAGGAAGTCAAAACCCCTTGTATTCTGGGGTTTAAACTGAGAGGCGTGGCCTGTTTATAGTTGCTGGAAACATCTTGGGTACACAGTGGCCATGTCTATATGAGACACTTTACTCTGCAGTAGTCTAATCTACTGCACGGTAAATTGTCACCATCTACATGTCTAGGTGCTGACTGCACAGTAAATTAATCTACTGTGCAGTAAATTTACAGTGCAGTAAATCCAAATAGCATTAATTGCACATGTAGGTGCTCCCAGTGAGAGTGAGAGATAAGGAATGAATGATCATGATAACAAGCTTTAAATATTGTTAGGTATAATGATGGATAAGTACTAAGCAGTTTTACATTTTATTCCCTCGTATGAAAGAAATGCACAAGAACCCCATAGCAGAGACCAGCCATCTTTAACTCAAGGCCATCATTGCCTTAGTTGTTTCCTCAACATGCTTGGACTCACAAGTCCCAGGCTGCATCCTAGTCGTAGTCAGGTTTCCCATCATATCACAATTCTTGGGTTTTTTTGTGGTGATAACTGAAGGTCGTTTGTTTCTATTCCATTTCAGATAAGAACTCCTTAACAATATTTAACACATCTTCACAGATTTTACAAGTGCGGAGCAGGTTCTTGCCTTTGAGAAATATTGACAACAGGGGTGTCAAGCTCCTGTAGTGTGCCCTGAGGCAACCAGAGCCCCTGGGTCCTCCAGAGAGATGCTCTGGCATCTGGCCAAAGCGTCTTTATAACTGCCCCCTTCCCCTGCTTCCCCAGCACTGCCTCCGCATGCTGGGGCAAATAGGAGTGGGGTAAGACTGCAGTGTGAACCGGATCCAGGCACCATCCAAAGTAAGTAGGGATGTGGAGGGGCGGGGAGATTGTGGGTGTGAGGGGGAATGTGGTGGGAGGGGCTGTGTAGGTGTAGGGGGAGCTTCTTGGGAAGAGTGGGTCCCCCGCCCACCCCCC